TTTAGAAGGCACTTAAAGAGGGGCCTTGTATTCAGAATTATTGTTGGCACATGTTTTGAGGACGTTAAAGTGGAAGCCTTCTGTGGGCATTAGCTAGGAGATAATTAAATCTACCGTAGGTAATTATGGTAGCTTTTATTACTGCATCTTTCATTAACTAATTATATTAATTTAGTAATGTTTGAAAAATTCTTTGAAGATGAAAAGTTAACTATTACTACCTTTAGCAGAAGGTTTGCTAAATACCAAGGTCTTTTCTTGATACAGATGCACATCTGCATGTGCAGAGCTGCTGCTAGAGCCAGTAAGTGACAGTGCTGTGTCAGGAGGAGACTGCTGTTACGTGGTGCAACCTGATGGCCGTGCGCTCTGGCTTTACTGCTGATACGTTTTGTTTCAAAGTGAAAATATGTTGGGTTTTTAACAATTTTTAGGAGATTTTCCTTCCAAGTACCTCTTCTTCATTCAGCCTTCAGTAGCAGAGAGAGAAATCTACTGTCGCTGTGATCACAGGGTGATGGGAGCAGGAATGGTGCCCTGCTGGCACTCAAGAGCTCACCAAATGTAGGAAATGATTTTAGGCCAAAGGAAAAGGAATATCACAGCTTTTGTAAATGCAGCACTTCCACAGTAAGGATTGATACCGAGTAACTCCACGTCACTGTGATTTTTGTTTATGTAAGTCTTCCAGAACTGAGTTTTCTTTCAGGGAATCCAACACTTCTAAGATATCCTGTGATTAAAGGATAATCAAATCAGGTTTCAGACATTAAAGACTAAATCCTTTGAATATTCCCATTTCATACTTGTTCATGTGATCTGTAGAAATCTTTCTCTTACCAGCTTTTAGTTGATTCAGATTAAGCCTTGTAACTATTGCCAAAAATGTATTCCTGCCTTGAGAAGGGTTTTGTAATGCTGGCATCACACCCTTTGTCTCTGTGGCTCCCTGTCAAAACCACGTGCTTTACAAGTTTAGGGTTTGTAAAGAAGCCCTATGCAGCCACAATCTGGCACCCAGAGCTGGGCTGAGTCCCTGTGCTCCAGTGCACCATCCCAGCACCTCTGGAGCTGCGCAGGCCAAGCTCTGCTTCTCCCTGTCTGCCCACCGTTTTGCTGGTGATAACCAAGCCACCAAGTGCCTTCCAGGAGAAGAAGCTTGGGTGTTCACTGCTCCTTTCATATCAGTCAGTAGCCAAGCATGTCGTGGACTGCTGTGACAGCCCTGCTCCCATCCACCAGCTCCAATGGAGATCCTGAAGTCTGACGGCAGTATTTCAGTGGCATGTTCTCAAACCCATCACTCTTCCACCCTTCTCGTGTCACTCAAAGTCATGCGTGATCAAAACATTTCCATTATGAATTTATTTTAGGATCCTTTCCATTTTTTTATAAATAAATCAAATGAATGTTCCTTTTATACAGCTGTAATTCACCCACATTGTTGCAGTAGAGCTGATTATCTCATTTACATTTTTAAGTGCTTTTCAAAGTGTAGGATATCTGGGCTGGAAAGCAAAACATTTCATTTCTTTGTTCTCAGGCCAACACAAAGCACTTCCAAGGTCAGGTATGGTGTAGACTTTCAACAACAAACATGTTTACATAGCATTTGAAAGCCAGTTTAACTGAAGAAAAAAAAACCAACTGTCTTTGTAACTATGATGTAAGTCAACGTAGCGAAGCTGAGAGAGGGGGATTCATTTTGTCCTTGGAAAAACTGAGCTTAATAAGTTTGGTTTTGTTTTCCATTCGGGAAAAGCTGCCTGCGACCCTCAGAAATTGGCCAGCGATTTTTACTTCTTTTCTGTGCCTTTTTCTTCATCTCAACAGTTGTTAAACATAAGCGCTGTTTTTCTTTGGGCAAAATCTGACACTTTGAAGCTGTGCATTTTGAAACCAAACCAAACCTTTGTTTCGTTTTCCAACAGAGATGTTCTCTGGTACACCTGGGGTAAGTCCTCTGCTGTTTGTTAGAGCATTCTGCATGCTGAAAACTTCTCTGTCAGATGCAGAAAAGATGTGGTGGTGCTGGATAGCTTCAGAAACCGCTATCAGCATTCAGGCTCTGACCACTGCCTATGAAGCATTTTGACAATAGAGAGAATTTTCAGTGTGATCTTCAAAAGGGCACATTATTCATATGACAGCCATCACGGCTCCTCCTAGCAAATTACAATCATGGGCAGCAATCTTACTTGGTTCTAATTATTATCTTTAGAGACCATCGCATGCAGGAATCTACAGCAACGACGAGATTTTGATGTTACTTTTTTTTCATGTGGCTTTGATCAAATACGGATCTTTTGGTTTTGCTTTCTTTGTCTTTGTGCTGATAGGGGAGCTGAAATATCCAGATGAGCGTTACTTGTAGGACATCCTTCATAAACAAAACCACTTTCTGCAAAGAGAGTGGCAGCAGAGCCCGTGTGCAAAGCACTGAAGTTTACCAACGATAGTCAAAAAATGGTAAAGCTGTTTGTGGTTCATCACAAGTCTTTTCTTACGCAGTCCCAATGCCAGCAGACAGTTGTGACTGGAAAAGCCTGCAAACTCATACAATATAGCGGGTTTGACAATTGATGAATGGATAATAATATACTTTGTTACCCTTATATGCTATGGTTAAAAAACAAACAAACAAAAAATACCCTTATTTCTAAATTGTGCTTGTTTAATTCATTGTCTGCCCTTTTAATGGAACAAAATGGGTGCTCCATGCTGACAAATGCTATCTAGAGTAGGTGGATTTAAGAAAAACTCTGTGTCGTCTGAACTTCCCTAATTAAATTACTTTAAGATGCATGACAAACCCACAGATTTAAAGGAACCGCTCATTTTGTGCTCTGCAGAGTATGTTTGTCTGTTGCAGAAAGTAAAACTGGAGAAATTAGGGAGTGGAACAGCACTGTGCTGCTTCTTTGCCACAACGTGGTTGTTGTCTTTTACAGGAGCTCTTTCAGATCCCGTTTTGTATTCAATACTTCAGGTTTTTTGTGATAGGATGATAGGAATTCATTCCCTGAGACAAAAGCATGCATGTGCACTCGTATGTGTGTGCTATCCCTCAATCTTCAAAGTCAAGTGAGAGTCAAACTTGCTTTTCAGCACTAGGAGGGAATCCTCAGCCCTCACCTTGCCAAGCTGTTGGGTTGTATGAGCTGATCACGTGGAAGCAGCAGAAGGCAGGTCGTACTTTGTAGCTTGGCCAGATGTGCTCCGTGAGCGTTCCTGAGAGCTGCTGGTCGTGCCTGGACGCTTTGGTGTTATGGGAAGACTGTTATCAAGTTGATTGGGCCTTTGGTGATCTTTGATACGAGGCCCTGCTCGTTCTGTGTTGCATTTCCACATTGCATGGATCTTTGTAAGTTTCACATCAAGGTCGGCTTGTTTGTGTTTTAAGTTATGACATTAGAGGTACAAAAAGAAAATAATGAGCCTGCAGTTCACATGTTAAGTTTCATTATAATAATGCAAATTACTGGTACTGCAAGACTTGTTGAGTATCAAGAGTTGAGTTGAGATACATGTTCAAGACTGGATTTTGGCATTTCTCAGAAGTGATGATAGCATAAAAGTCCCTGGGCAGATTTTAAGTTCATGCTTGGGTCTGGTTACATTTTTTGGCATTAGAACATGTAACAAACAGCCTTATAACTATAAGACTTTAAAGTTAATGCCTGGCATCACTTCAAAACAATATGCAAGATCTATCATAAGTAGTTCCTCTTATCTTATCTCCGTAGCAATTTTATCCTGTAAATGATTTGAGAGCGCAGGGTTTCAGTGCTGTGGAAAAGAGCAAGGGTTTGGCTGTTCAGTCTTTGTACCCCCGGTCCTGTTAACGATGCTGGTTTACTCCTGGGTGTCCCATGTTGAGGAGGCAGCTCTCAGTGTGCCGTGTGTTCTGCGGGACACGTGGGGTCACACTGGTCTCCATTGCAGCAACAAGTTCCCGGTGCTCCTCCAAACCCCGGTGTCCCTATGGCCAGTCCCCAGGGCCAGCCCCTGCTTGGTCCCAGCTGCCCCACGCCTTTCAGCTGACGGACAGCTCTGCCCCGATTTTCTGCCCTACAAAAGATAGCTCAAAGTATTCCCTTTCTGCTGCCACAGCTGCCTCTGTGCCGATGTCAATCTCACATCCACATTGTGCGCTTTGCTTCAAGTCAGCACTTGCAGCTAACAATGCCTTTATTCAAGCTGACAACATAACTAAGCTTTTAGTAAGTGTGTAAGTAAATGTTAAGTGTGTATTCAAAAGTCCAACAATGGCTAGGAAACTTTAAAAAAAATATCTTTGAAACTTGGTATTGTTTGTTTGGTGTGTATCTGTTAGAAATAACACAGACTATCAGCTCCTTGGGGCATGACTTCTCCTTTGTTAAGCACACAACAAAAAGATCAAGGCTCCTAGGGACGGCCATAATAAAAATAAATATATAAGAGGAACAATAATGACAAAATAAAGTTGTCGATGCGTTTTATGAGCGGGGTTTAGACGTGATCATTCCTGAACTAAATAAAGACTGGATTGTTGTGGTAAAGGGAGGCGATTGTAATATCCTCTTATTTATTGCCTTTGATGCTGTGTCTGTAGGTCCCGTGCTGAATTCACCCCAGGGCAGAAGGGAGCCCCGTGTCTCAGTGAGCGTCCCATGGCAGTAGCATAGAATGTATTTCCACTCAAATTCCGGACATAGATTTCCAGAGAGGGTTGTTGCTCAGGTTTAAAGGAAGGGTTATTGGTGCACTGCAGAAGTGTTCCCGGGAAGCACAGGTTGTATAAATAGCATGATAGATGGTGGTGAAGCACTGGCACTGCTCAGAGCTGTGGGTGCCCCATCCCTGGAGGTGCCCGAGGCCATGGAGGGGGTTGGAACTGGTTGATATTTAAGGTCCTTAAGCCATTCCATGTTTCTATGAGCCAGTGTCAAAGCACATTACCTGTGAGCTTTTTGGGGGGTTTCTCACATGTTCTGCACCCACTGGTGTTGTTTCAGACCCTACAAGATGAAGCGGAGCGTTCCCGCATCCAGGCACGGGCTGCAGAGAAGAAGCTACAGCGCAGGGAGCTGGAGACCCACGAGCAGGTATGGGGCTGCCCCTGGGGGGGAGCTGCGATGGGCAACGACAAGATCTTGCTTCAAAGCAAAAGCACTTATTTTCCTGCAAAATTTTCAGCTAGCTTTCTTTTCTGTTTTTGTTAATAAAAGGGAATTAAACTGTCTGAACCCTACAGGCAAATACTTACCTCTTGCTCTCTATTTCAGGTTGGTATTTCAACTATCCAAGCTGTTAAATGATGCATTTATTTTAAAGTGACTGTAATGCTATAAGAGGGCTCCGAGACTATTCTAACCCCTTGTTTGATGCTTGTATTGAGAGAATTATAATTGGACAATGACTGAGATAAAAAGTAATCTTTACTGCTGATCTCATGCATCTATCGTCCTAGCATGTTGTCTGTAAACAGTTCCACGTGATTAATGCTGCTAAAATTAATGCAGACACTTCCAGTGAAATCAGAGATGCAGTGTGCTTCAAGCAAAATAGTGTATGTAATTTACAGAGTAGTACTGAAACAAGAAAGCCTACAGTCTGCATTTAAACCAGATTGACGTATTCAGGAAAATGCAGAGGCTGTGGATATCTGAATTGGAAAAGGGTTTGCAGATCTCTGGTGCAAATGCAGTTTTGCAGCATTTCAGAACTTTATATGGTGATCAGCAACCAGTATCCACCACGTTCAGGTCAGGCTGGATGGGCTCTGAGCATTGATGGAGTTGTGGGTGTCGCTGCTCACAGCAGGGATTTGGACCGGATGGCCTTTAGGGGTCCCTTCCAACTCAAACCATTCTAGCAGCTGCTGGGCCAGTTGCATCCCTAACTGAAAAGTGCTCGTGGCACTGGGGGAACTTGTGCAGTCAGGCAGTGGCCTACAAGCACTGCATTTTGGCTTCAGTCTCTTGGAAATGAAGGAAGATGTGTTATTTGGTGCATGGTTGTCTCTCTCACAGAACAACATTGGCCTGAACACAGTGATGACGATTCTCTTATGTATTTCCCACTATAATGGTGTGCCCAGGCCACCTGTAAGCCTGTTCATCAGGCATTAACAGCAGCTAACAACTTGTCAGCTGACTGGGGAGCTGAAGGATATAAGGCATGAACTCAGAACTCGCTTGCTGCTTTTACAAAACATTGTCTGAACCAGAATTGCATCAAACATCAAAATTTGCATTGGCACTGTCACAAAGGCTACTTTTCTAAGCTTTTACATGTCTATAAATAAGGAGGAGAGAGGGTTAAACAGCTTCTGTTTTTCATTAAAAGGAAAAATCTTGTGTTTTGATTCTATAACAACAACAAACAAATGAATGAGACATGAAAAAACATTTTGTTGCGCTTTTAATTAAAACTAAAAAGCTGTTTCTCGTTACGGCTTGTTGGGTGGTATCAGCTCTCCATGTTTGCCTTCTTTCAGTGCAACGTCCTTAGAACTCAGCAGTGACTGACAGGTCCGCAGGGCTCAGCTCTTCATTCCAGGAACTTTCTGCTGATTGCACAGTGTTAACCTTTGCTATAATTATCCAGAGGGACAGAGTCAGCTTCGTGACATAAACTATCGTGTAAATAACGTTATGTTTCCAGTACTTTTATATGTAAGCCCCCAGGAATTCCCACTGGGATTAAACTAAATCATTTATCTTCCCCATGGAGGCTCTCCTGTCTCTGCTAAGCGTGGCCTTCCAGGGCAGTGGTGCACATGGTCAGTAACACTGCTGCCTGATTGCAGTCTCAGCATTGTGTATTATCACCTCTCTGCATGTCGCAGTGCTGAATGTCTTTCAAAAATTAGATTTCTGACTTCCCAAGACACACAGAATTGCATTCATGGAGCATGGCAAGCTAGCTGTAAATGGCGTGTAACTCACCCTTCATATAACCTGTGTGTATGTGGGTTTATGGTGCATTGTGCCACGGCAGTGGAAGCAGACTGAGAAGGTTCCTAAGAAATGCAGGTGCAACCCAACCTTTTCCTTGCAAAGCAATGCTGGAGTTTCTTCTGTCTCAGGAATCTGAAAACCTGGGAACTGATCCCATGTAGATTACACTCCTGCACTGCGCGCTGTTTAGTGTTGGTTGTCTCTGATCTGTGCGTGTATCTAATACAAAACAACATTTCTGACAGGAAACAGTTTGGAATTCTATGCATTGCTCAGTCTATAGAGCAGGATTGGGTATGATATTTCTAATTGAAGATAGTACAGGGGGAAACGAAGATTTTCATGTTCATGAGCAATCAAGGTAACATCATGATAGGTACTCAAACCATAGGAATGCGCCTCCAAACAGTCAAGTCACAATTACAGCCTTAACGGATAGAGCTTCTCTGCAGACACAAAATCAGTGATGTCCAACTAATGAGCATTACTGAGGAATTGAAGGAGAATGCCAATACAGATTTCCAGCTCTTTACTTTCTTTCTTTTTTTCTCAAATAGATTATTAAAAAGGGAGAAAGGAGTTGTCTGAATAAAAGTGTTGTTGAAGTATTTGGGGTAGAACAGAGCAGCTTAGTTTGTTAAGTGGATTTCACTTGCATTCCAATGAAAACAGGAGTGTTCATCGTAAAAGAGCTATGATTCAAAAGCATTCAGCAAGTGTTCAGTTTTAATATTTATCATTCTGACTTGCTCATTTTTTTATGACTGCTGGATATTTACCACATTCAGCCTAACTTACTGTTTCCATGCCAACTAAATCTGTTTGTTCTCAGATGAAGGCCGTGATGCATCATTTTGAAATTTCAGCTGCTGTGTAGCACAGGGAACTTCTAACATTTGCCACACCTTATCTTTGATGGCAACTGTGCTATTGTCTGCAGATTTGGGGAGCTGTGAGTAAAGGAACGGTGAGACAGCGATGAGCAAGATATGCCTACATCCAGGGTATGTGTCCCAAATGGTTCTTAGCAGAACAAAGGCTGGAAGACCTGAGTAATATCCTTTTTGTTCAGGGCTTTTTGTCCATATTTATTTTCAGGTTTGTTTTAAAGATATCACAGAGTTTTAAAGGCAGTCAGATGAACTCACAGAAATTCCCCTACTTCCATTGTCTGGGTCTTCCTTTACAGTTCCACCATGGCTGCTTCCACAGCTTTGCCAAAGCTTGATATATGTTCTAGAAGAGTGGAACATGGAAGCAGTGGAACTTCCTCCCCTCTGGCCTTGGTGAACACTGCAAGAAGTCTGCTTCCAAAGCAGCCTCTTCCCCGTCCCAAGGAAACTGATGTATACTTCCTTACACCTTTCATGGAGATAGATGTGCCTATGGCTGCATGGCAGTGTTGACTGAGGCGTGATAAAATTAGTGCTGTCATTACTTGGAGCCAGATTCTACCATTTTTATCTTGGCTCATGCCTACTGTATGTGCAATTCCACTGATGCACTCTTTAATCAGTAGTGCCCCCACATTTAAGACTGAGATGGTTACAATAAATCAGAACTTCCGTTTGTCATAGTGGGTTCTGTCAGCATTTTAACAACCTATCATGAAAGGAATGCAGAATTAAACAGAATATAGTAAATTATACTGTAAACATGACATTTTAGAGTAGCAGGAGGAGGAAGAAGCTGAGATTCAAGCACAGAAAAGCAGATTTTCAGGTGGGATTTGAAAGGAGCTGGAAATCAATGGAGTTGAAAGTTACCGGGGCTCCATACGGCAGAAACTGCAGGAGAGAAGGATCTCACCATCTGTGAGCCTGTCAGAGGAAAGAGGGGAAGGCAGTGATGATGTTTGTATGGAAGTCAGTGATCAAACACGAGCTTTGGTCATCAGACACAACTGGAAAATACACGAATGTATACCTACTCCATAGGCCTGGATGAATTTCAAAATGAAGTGGCCAGTTGGAGAAAGGCAGTGAAACAGAAAATAGGGAACAGACAACTGATCAAAGGAAGAGAATTTTTAACAAGCGAGATTAGAAGTATACCTTAGCATGCATGAATTAGAGAGGTTTTTAAAATGTCAGTTTTCTAGCTCTTTGTCTTTGTCATGGTGTTTAATGCAGGGAACACCAAAAGGAGAAGTGGCACTGCATGGAGGAGCCAGCTGGGTGACAGCAATGGTCAGTGAGCTATCCTATTGATTTCTTTCAGGTGAGGTGCCTAGATGGAGCTAAAAAGGACGGAAAATAAGTCTAGTTTTATGCAGATATTTATCACCATCTACATTTTAAATTATTATTTTCTTTGCAATTGAATCAGCACTGATCCTGTCTTTAAAAGTACATCAGGGATGGAGAGCCGTGGTTACCACCCGTGCTCAAAGTTCATGGACTCTTTCTGACCATAAATCTAGCAGCTTCTTTTCCAGTTGAGATGCTGGTTCCATTCTTGTTCTTGACAGAGGGGAAATGGCAATACTAAAAGTAGCTGCTGATTATTATCTACAAAGATTTGTTTGTTCACATAGACAGTGTGAGAATGCTGAGCTTCATCCTGCCTGCTGCTGAGCTTTGTCAGCCCTTGCTGTCATTGGGGAGCGCTTGGCACCTCTGTGTAGCAGACCCTGAACCTTTGACTTGCTGATCCACCCCAGGGTGGAAGGGATCATGTGGAAGGTAACACATACTGGAATGTATGAGATACATAAATACTTTCCCATGCTGGTGTCAAAGATGCTTACAGCTTTATTTCAGACTTAATTATCTTGATAGCATATTAGAAATTCCCTGCCCTCGACAGAGCCGTAAATGAGTACCATGTGTCTTCAGCCTTGGCCCAGCTTTAATTCCTGGGCTGGTTCAGTTTTCTGTTCTTATGCAGCAAGTCAGCGTTGTCAGCTGGGCTCCCTTTGCCCCATGGAGTGGAGCATCCCCACTGCAGAGGAGCAGTGCTGGCAGGGGCCGAAGCAAACATTGCTCAGGAGCAAGGCTGGCATCTGGATGAGTCATAGGGAAGGAGGGGAAGACGGGTCAAGGATCCTCCAAATCCCAACTGAAACAATAGAGGAGCCCTTAAGAGGGGGTGGCTGAGAGAGCAGAGTGAATTTTCTAGCCACAGCATTCCTGGTTGTTCCA